TCTCTCTCTCTCTCTCTCTCTCTCTCTCTCTCTCTCTCTCTCTCTCTCTCTCTCTCTCTCTCTCTCTCTCTCTCGCGCGCGCGCGCGCGCGCGCGGTCTTCTTCTTCGTCGTGGTCTTCTTTGCAGGTGTGCGGCGGCTTCTCCAACCTCAGGTCCGCTATGGCGGACTACAGCCTTCGGCGGCCACCTCTGCTATGACGCATCACCCTGCGACACACAATTCGGCGCGCATGGAATCGCGGGTACCAGCTCCGATATCAATGAAATCAGACTCGTTCTCATTCACACTTTTCGTGCATGTAAACAACAGCGCAGCAAACTGGCGACATGCGCCCACTCAAAACTCAAAGATATAGCATCCAGATACGAGTTCACTTTCAACTGGCTATGGCGACTCAGCGCCCAAACAACTCATTGTTCACATACACCGGATCACCCTGGATATCCCACACGCGTCACTCTGAACACYCGCACATACACACACACACACTTCACGCTAAACTACAGCTATGGTAGCTATGGCTGCCTCTACCCTATCGCTATGCTACGCTCCTTCTCTCTCGCCCACTTCAGCTCCGGGCTCTCTGCAGACCTCCTTGCACAAGTCACTGTGGCAGCCCTTCCGCATGGCTCACGCAGAAAATGAATGAAAGCCTGGGCGCTGCCTTTTAATTTATACTCCGGAAACTCGTTGGTCTGCCCTTTGCCAACAGCCCATGGTGCTCACAGTCCCCCGTGGTACTTGCTGGACCGGACTGGGACTGACTGGACCTTACCGCTGACTGACTTTGAACTCACTGCCAACCTACCGTAGTCGTACTGCGATTGCACTGCGGTGTAGTCCACCACTTGACTCGCCACTTGACCACTTGCCCACTTGTCGACCTTCTAGAAGGACTACAGCTAGACTTCTGGAACTCGCTAAGACTTCTACTCTATAGATCTACAGATCGAACCCCTGCTGCCTGTGGACCTATGACAGACCTACCAACTGTCTACGAATACACAGGTCACAAGGTCAACTCTCGGGGACTACACAGATACTGTACATGGGTAGGGTGAAGTCTAGGGATCGAGCCTTGGGATCTGCGTCTGTTACTGCAAAAGGTGAAAACCATTTCACCACTTTCTACTAACGTGGTGTATATCATTTCTCTACTTACTTCTATATCTGCTATTATTAGCTGCCCCTTCGACTTCTTCTTCATTTCAGCCCCAGCGCGGCGACGAGTGATCAGCTCATTTCCAATACTTGCGAGGGAGCCACCTAGAGAGGTCCTAACACAAGCAACCTCTGGACAACTAGCTAGGTGGGGGCCTATAACAATCTCTGCCATTGGGATCTTCGGATAGGAGGGTGCCTTTTCAACGCGCGCTTCTATCTTCCTGTTTGAGTCCGAAGTCCTTGTAGAGGCAACTGCAACCTCTACTGTATGTTCCCTTTTGAGTATCTGGACGCGGCACACAAGGGAACTATGTGGTCGAGGTCACCACATTTAAAACATTGGCGGGCCTTGCGACAGTCCTCCCGGACTTTCTTGTCTATACCGATTTCTTCCCAAGGTTTGCCCTCAACTATCCCCGGGTGTGTTGGGTACGACCGCCAATTCCTACCTCTTCCTCTACCCCCCTATGAAGGGAGAACTTCTACCACCTTGCAAGGGATCATAAGCCCTACCTCCCATGTAGTAGCTACCTTTGTCACCACCCCTTTGGGCAGCGGGTCCTCGACCTTCGCCTCGTCTTCGACCTCCTCTACCTCGGCCTCTACCTTGTCGCCCTCCCCCACGGACTGCAACTGCCGCTAGTCCCCTCCCCGGGCTACTTGGCTGTTGATCTCCTCGTCTGGACCATAATCTATCTGGTCGTGATAATGACTCTGCACCTTCTTAGAAAGTGACCAGCAAATTATCCTTACCTTCTATAGTGCCAGATATGGTCTCATTCTTCCACCACTGACCGACCTGCAGATCCTTCCAATAATGGCAATAGTTTGCCTCTTATAGGAACCCGGCATGGTCTACAACTATCTTGTTGAATTTCTCACAGGTCATCCCCTCGTCTTTGGTAGGGGGATATAGATGGGTCTTGAGGGGCTCTGGCAGCGCTCTAGCGAAATTGTTCAAAATCTGAGTGGGGGTAAGTCCATTGCAGCAGCTCATCCATAGTGGCCTTGAGAGCCGACGCACTCTTCCACTTGCGGTCACTATTATTAAGGATGAGGGACTCGGTACGACGAGCTAAGTTCTTATCCTCGAAGCGGTCTTTCAAGGCTTTGAAGAAGTCCTTAATCCTAGTGCGCTGTGAGTATTGCACCATCAAGGTGAATCTGACTTCCTTTATTAGCGAAGTAACGAAGCTTGTTGCGTCTCCCCCTAGGCACAAATTTGCCATTAGTATGCGGTCCCAATACTGAGTCAACTACGCATACAGTTACGTGTCTATCGCCGCATCCCAATGAAATATGTTCTCCTCCCTCTTCTGAGTATATGTGCAGTGTGGCTTAACCTTCATCTTCTCCATTCGTTCTCCTCCCTCAAACGTATCTTCTCCGCCTTTCTTTCCTCCATCCTTCATGGGACCTTTACCCTTCTTGTCACCATCCCCATCGTCGCCACCATCTCCATCTCCACCATCGGGACTCAACTTTGCTGAGATGGTATTAGCCAACTTTTGAGTAAAGAGGAAATCTAATTGGCGTGTATACAACATGATCCTATGATCAATTTGCTGGGACGATGCAGTCTCGGTACTCCCAAATTCCTCCTGATGTCGCTCTACCTTTCGAATGGCTCGTTGAAGTGCATAGAGTTCCTGGGTGGTGTGCAACAAAGTGTCAGTGAGGAGGTTCCAGCGTTCTTCAGTCTCCACCTGTTTTCCTTCTTGCTCCTTCAACAACACCTGAAGTCTTTCCTCCTCTTCTTTCAACCCTTTCTTTTCATCAAATTTTTTCCTTCTCGCGGTCAACAACTTTTGATTGAACCCACTTTTATTTTCTTCTATCAGCAAGTTCTCCTTCTCCCGATCCTTTGGTGCTGCCAACTTTGCCACAAATTGATCCCTCTCTTCATCAGGTTCTTCCGGAAGCTCCGTCCGGTACCCAAAATTTTCCACCCAATCCAAGTCTCCAATTCGTTGGAGTCTCAGTTCTCCAGCATGGCAGCTGTCTTCCACCTCCTCCCCTGCTGGTTGTCTTCTTTTCTCCAGTCCTCCTCCTTGTAATGATTGTTTGCCCTCCATTGAATTGGTAGTTTTTACCTGTTCTTGTGTTCTGCCCTAATACTTATGCTTAGTCTTCTTCTTCTTCAACTTCTAACTCCTACACTTCTTCTTTCTTCTTCATTTCCTTCTCCATCTTTTTTTTCTCCTCCTTCGCTTTCTTTTTCTAAGCCAACCTCCGATCAATTTATGCCTGCCGTTCTGCTATGTATGGCTGTGTGGTCCCACAAAACGTCATGGTTACACTCATGCGGCATGTCCGGTGGAATCCTAGAGGAAACAGGAATCGGAGAAGGGGACCCCATAACACGGACAGGGTCAACATTGCGAACATCGGGTGGTCATCCATGGTTGCTAAGGCACAGGTAAGTAGCCTCCACTCCTCACCACGTAGACCTCGCCCTCAACACTTAAACTATCAAATCTAGATTGGAGTCCGACCTATCTAAGTTCTTCCCTCCCCACAGTGTCACTGCAACTACCCTGTCAAGCTGCTGGGCAACCAGCAGCCTAAAAATCCGGAGGCTGGGCCCGACGACGACTGCCATTGATAAATTTGATCGATGATCGTCGTTTCGTTTCGGCCTCCGAAAAGGTCGGACGCCCACCCGAGGCCCATTATTTTCCCACGCGGGAAAGGTGCTAGTGGTTTAACGATGCGGACAGGATGTCATGCCCACCAGGATCCGAAGGTTCGTTTCTCAAGACTTACAGCTCCTCACTGCGTCATCTCTGGTTCGGTCGCATGTCGGTTAGTACCGGTCTTAGAGCTAAACAAGTTGTTTTACGAGCGCTCGCCGCTCATGCCCATGCTTCCTACTTTTCAGGTGATACACCCAACAACCGAGCTTCTATCCTAGACACAACCTACTTCATAAACGTGTCTGACCAGATGTTGACTCAAAACAAAATCCAGATATGTCATCAGGTGTTCTCTCCAGCAACACCAACACCAAAATGTGGAAAGGTATCGTGACACTAATTCATTCATCAAAGCAAATGCAGGGCTCAGGGGGGCGATGCACTTCACTTGTGAACGTTCCTTTGATGAAGCTCCTCGACGCTCCTTGGATGCAGGTACGTAGTCATCATCCCCCTCTCTGCCCACTTCTTTTTCGGTCTGCAACCCCAATGTCAGGCTCCAAGTCTCGTCTCGCTGGCCTTATTCTTGCCAACTTTCATCAACAGCGGATGTAGTGAGTACCAGCTCCGATACCAATTGCATTGAGCCTCACTGCTCGTCACCTCTAGCACACACAGACAATGAGAGATCACACGAAGTCCATATTAGAGTCCAGAGATGCAAAGTCCAGATAAACGCAGCTTAGGAATTCCAACAAATTATCACATTAAGCACTTTCAGAGTTCCAGTCACCATCGCTCATCAACGCAGAGTTCAACAAGAGTCGTGAATGCTCGGCCTGCAAAGCTTTGTCGACCTGTAATGACTTAACGAATTTACAAGCTGACTAAGATTAAGCTCCATTCAATATACAGGGAAACTTCCCCACATACACCAAACTCGAGAAGAGGAGTATGTTTACGGGTATTAAAATTATTAAGAGCGATGATTAAGACGAATACATAGGTGAACCTCCTCACATACACAAAACTTGAGAAGCGGACTATGTATACGGCTAGTTAAAGTATTAAGAGCGTGGACAATATAAGATTATGTTAAGAAGTTAAAGAGTATTAGATAATGTATTCAATCATGTATTAGATAATGTCTTCTTACCTTTCAAGGACAATAAGGGCGGACAAGCGATTGTGACCAGCTTGTGGTAACAAGGAGCATCCTCTTCCAAGGTAGGTGACTCTCTTCTCTCGCTGTCCCCCCCTCTCTCTCTCTCTGTCTTCTTCATGCATGTGCTCACTCTCTCTCTCTACTCTCTCTCCCTCTCTCTACTTGAGGATCTCGACTCTGAGGTCTACCTCCTCCTACTAGCTGAGCGGCAATGGCCGCCTTCCCTTCCCCGCACAACGCTGCCCAGCAGGGCTCTTGCGCATGCCACTCGTAGATAACGCACTAACGCTTCAGCAACACTTCCACACTTCTCATGCATGAGCAATCTGCTTGAAATGTGGCTGGCAAGTCCTTATATTGACTTGGACTGGGCCTGAACTCGTCCCAGCCTCTGCTTCCTTTGGCCTCACTTGGTACTAGTACCACATGCCCACGGCCTGTTTGGTTCAGAATGTCGAGGCCTGGTACCTCCCTGAATTTTCCCTTGGTGTGTTGCTGCTTGGCCCTATCAGTCATGACTTTTCATCTGTGGGATATGCCTCTTTGCCTATGAGACATGACCTTTGCCTGTGGAATATGTCCTTTGACTTCGAGACGTGACTTTTGCCTGTGGGACACGACTTTTGCCCGGGGAAGTGCCCTTTGCCTGTGGGATATGACCTTTCACCGTGAGATGTGACTGGTGCCTATTGGATGGGACTGTTGACCAAGTGCCTGTTGGACTCAACCTCTGGGGCACCCGGCTTAGCTTTTCTGAAATTGAACGACTTGGCCCCTCTCTTGTGCCTATCGATGATTCCTCGTGCAATTAATGGCGGTCACGAGATTGATAGAATTGTCGAGCACAGTGGAAAAGGGAAAAACAGACAATACAAAGTCCAGTTTTTATATCGCCCTGTTCACCCATTAAATGATTTTTACTAGATTGCTAAGAAAGACTTGTTGCAGAGTGCCCAGCGAGTCGTCAACGCATACGAACGACTGATTGTCTCCTAACAACAACCTAAATTCACCGCTACCCTCACTCCTAGGTTGCTATGCACGGACTTTGAGTGAGTTACTCGCTCGAAGGGACCTCGCTCTTGAGGGGGGGGTAGTGTAATGACCCGCCATAAGACGGACTGAGAACAATGCTGATTTCCGAGTCCTGTCGATGGAATGGATGCCTTGCTGAGATTCCCACATTCTGCTGAGTTTTCTAAGTCTATGTGTGCGCGTGCTTGATGACTTGCGTGCCTGTCTGAGTGCTTGTCGACGTTAGTGTGTGTGTGACCCGCAAGGGTACTTGCTTGTTTGGGAGGCCCGTAGGGCCGGTACTTACCTGTGGCCATGATATGGAGGGTTGCAGCAGGGAAAACACTCAAGTGGCGGAGCGAGAGCCGCGCGACACTTAGAGCAGCGGAAAACACTCAAGTAGCAGGTAGGCCGGTACCGCACCCAGTAGAAGTAGATGTGTCGGGTACTCGAGGCCAAGCAAAAGAAGATAAAGCTGGCATTTTTAGAGGCCCAGTAGTGGTAGGCTAGGTCTAGGCGGGTACCAGTCCATCTAGTATGAGTCTAGGGCCTGTACGGGCAATATCAGAGTCTGCAATGATGTTTCCCTCTGAAAGGGAGGAGGTACCGGTTGCTTGGGAGGCCGAGCGGCCTGGAAGTCACCGCCCAGGAGGCAAGTAGGCCGCTATATCTGGAGGCTGAGCGAAGAGCCCAGCCTCATTCTTCGGTGTGCAAGTTTGGCGACACACTGCTGGAGCGCTGGCTGGAGCAGCGCTGCTGGGAGGAAGAAGCCCAGGAGCTTCCACCTCGGCTATGGTGGAGCTCTATCGTTAGGAGGAGGAGGGAGAAGAGGACCAAGGAGGAGAGTGGCGAGGTACCTACCTGGGTATGGTGGACACCATCTTCATCACCTTGCTAGGCGCTGCATCTGGAAGGCCCCAGTTGGGGCAGTGCCGCATCAAGGAAGCTCGGGGCAGAGTCAGGCATAGCATCTGAATGGGCAGCGGCATAGCTGCTTTGGGTTGTCCTTTGCACAGGAAGGCAACAACATAGCTGCTTCGGGTTGCCCTTTGGACAGGAGGGTAGAGCCCTCAGTAGTCCGCCATAGCCTCGGCCCACATAAACAGGAAGAGGAAGGGTGGCCATGGCTATGGTGGACCTCATGTGGTGCCTGTAGTAGAAGAGGGATTCGGACATTGATTTTGGTTCAGCCATTCAACATTATTATTGTTATTTCTCGTTTGAATAAGAGGGGAGGAGATAAGGAGGAGGAGAGTGGTTGGCGAAGAAGAAGAGCATTATCTTTGGTTTATGCTGGAGTATATCATCTTCTTCTTCTTTCTTTCTTTCTTTTTCTTCTTCTTCTTTCCCTCTCTCTCCTCTCAAGTTCATTCATTTCTTTTTGCAATCGACATTGTACTTTCTGATGAATGTGTACTTCGGAATCGGCCCTGATCATAACATTGGTCTCAGAGCGGATTCTACTTACTGGCGAGAGTTGACTTTGCCGCCATAACCCTAACCTAAGTGGTAAGGGCTAACCTCTTAGGGTTAGGTTAGGAAGTTAGGGTTAAGTGGGGCGGCGTGGTGAAAGGGAAGCTGCTCCCACTTGGCAGGGCCGTGTAGGGTCGACAATAGACCCGGCTTGGTTGCTAAAGTGCATGTTTGTGGTGGCGAGACACAAGGTGGGACTTCGTGATGCAATTGGAGAGAAGTGACATATGAAGGGCACCTACAACTGAAATCTGGACTTCAGGGAAGGCAAGGAGCGACTTAAGGGATCCCCTCAAGTTAGACGAGCTTGAGGGTGGCAGCCATGTCTGCACCTATGGACTGCAAGTTGCTACTTTGATCTTCAACATCGACGGGGGATCCGACGTTGTACTTTGGGGTAGATGTTGACCCTCCTAGAGCCAGGCCACTCAGGTAAGTGTCGTGTCACAAGGGTGCCCATGTGTGTGTGCATGGAATTGACTGACTGTTGGGGTATTTTGGGTTCTTCTTCCATCCTCCGTAGTCTTGATCTTGTCTGAAGTGTGTGGTGCTCATGTGTTTTTTTTTTTTAAAACACCCCCACCAGTGTTAGTGGTGCTGATAAGAGCAGACACCACTAGCACCTGGGGAGAGGCTCCATCTATTGGTGGGGAGCTTCACCTGCTGGAAAACGGGTCCAGCGTCCCATATACAGACTGAAATTTAGAGTACATCAGAAAACAACTGTGGGATGTTCCTGCCAGCATTGATTACCCTGGGATCCAGGGGATTGACTGAGCAGGATTTTGGGAGGAAGGGGGAACCTCTTCACCCTAATCTGGTGCCAGGTACATCACTTCCCACTAGTTCCTCCCTTCTCCTAAGCCATAGAATAGAGAAGATATCAGAACTTTCATGAAAATGAGGCTAGAAGCCTACCCAAAAGAAATAGAATTTTGAGCTAGAAGCCTACCCAAAAG